TTGAGTTGTTTGTGTGTAAATCTAAGCAATTTGCAGTTCATACGTTACAGCGCCTAAAATTATGCTTGCAGCTGTGTTGCCGCCGAAAAAACACCGAAATTGTGTGAAAGTTTTCTCGAATATTTTCACTTTCACGCTGCTTTGACGTCATCCCAAGCGCCATAGTCGCATGCACCGCATATCAGCGCTCTGCAGTCACCTATGTGGTTTGCTTTTATTAGCTGTACACATGAATGCATAGTGACGAGCACATACTAGGCACGGCTCTGTTGATGACATTTTCAAAATTGCCAAAATAGAAATTGAGTACTCGTGTTTGTTGAACGGTTCAAAGGTTTCATATTTTTGTTATTAATAGCGTGATCTCGCATGCAGTTGGGAAATTAAATACGTTCGTTTATATTCAGCTTTTATTCGTGTTAAAAGTTGTCGCTTGAAAGTAAAATGCGGTGCGCCCCATTAAAAGCCATTGGTGCTTAAATTATCAGCAAAATTTCTATTAATTGCTTAGCAGGAAGTTTTGTTGTAGATTATCTGCTTACCTTTCTTCTTACGGCTTTCTTTATAATGTTTGTTTAAACCAATTTACATAGTGTTCGTTTTCCAAACATACTATAGAAACAGAATTCTGAAGGCTACTGAGCTCACAGATTCCCTCGGTATTTCAAAAACATTAAAATGGATTAAACAAAATTTTATAAAATATTCGTATTTGTTGATTATGTGTCACAGAAAATAAGTATGAACTTTCACGATCAGAATTTCTGTTTGCTATTACCCTTTTCGGAGTAGGTTTTCGTCGCCTTGGGTGGTGGCGTCCCTCCCGAAAGATTATCCAATTGAAGTCGGTTCCGACCTTCTTTTTCTCTCGTCCTTATTCAATTTTATATCGTAATTATTGTTTATGTTGTGAGTATTCCCACTCATAGCCTTTATCCACCTTCTGGAAAGTTAGTCGCCATATACAGTTCCAACGTTATCTCGGTTACAAGGCCAAGAAATTGATTTAGGCACACCTTATGAGGCAGTTTGTTTAGGGTCGACTAGCGTAAAAAAGCTTTTATCTCAACTTATATCTATCTACCGCAGAGGAGCGTACTCCAAGGCCTGCCAGGGTTTTAACGGTATAAAGGCAGCCTTGGTATTAACCCGTTAGCTTTTTCTATATGGTGACAGAATACTTTGACCATCAGCTCTACATTCAAACCTATCCATCTAATAATCCATAGCAAGGTTCGTGTCAAGCAAAGGCTTTAACGCTCGTAGAAGTCTAAAGACCGTAGGGTCGCAGGTGCAAGGATGCACCGCACAAAATTATGTTGAAATTTACAAATAATAAATTTAATCTTTAAATCACTGAAGTTGTCTGTAATCGTAAGCATCCTCAATTTGGACAACGCAACCGGAATTTTTTCTGTAAATTTTTTCAATAAAGTGTCATTTTGCTGAATTTTCATTTTGTTCTACTTATTTGATATTCTTATGGTTGCTTAAGAAATTACATACTATTTTTGTTACAATGAAAATTTATTGGCTATTACTGAGCGGTTTTAACTTCTCGCTAAACTAACTAACCAGGGTTGCATGTCCCGCAATTTAATTAACAATAAAGTTTGATTGGTATTTAATGTGCAATTAATAAATTGAGTTTATATACGTAAGATTGCTGTATATTATAATTGATAGTACTGAAACTGTCTTAATTGGCTATTCTATGCCTTTTTGAACATAAAATAAACTTCGCTTGAAATTATTAGATATTTCGAAGAACATCGTTGCATTCAGTTGAACCAGAGTGATGGTAGTTTGAATATTTTTGACTGATGCTAGGCTAATTATTAAATATAACAGTGATCGCAGAACATTAATAAAGAGGAAAAAATTGTAAGATTTGCTCAGAGCGATGAGGCTTTAGAAGTATAATAAAAATCTTTTATCACAAAACTAATTTTTGTATCATAAATCATTTTAAAGAAGCGTGTCAAACAATAAAAGCCCATAAACATTTTATACCCAGCACGCGTAGCACAAAGAGCAAATCGTAAATGTCTCGACCATTTGCCAATTGGTAAAACAACCATTTCTATTTATATTTCTACACAGTTGGTTAGAGATGCCAAAGAATATAAAAACACTAAACTAATAACAAAACAGCGAAGCGACAGCCAGACCGAAGGCCAAACGAATCGACCAACTTAGCGGCAGACAATTGGACGCGCTGAAAAGGCGGCAGTAAAATAGAATAGCGGCAAATAAATCTTAACAGCATGACAACAAAGCGATAATTATGTGCGTACTTGCAATTGATTTGTTTGGCAGCCAATTTTTGGATACTTTAATACATACATACATAAGTATATTTATATATTTTCGGGCGGCTGTTGATATAATGAAGTGTTTGAACTTGAGTTATGTTGCAAAGTTGTTAGGCGATTAACTGATATTAGCTAATAAGATACTAATGTTCAATTAAAGAGCTTAAAACACTTTTAGCATTAATTGTGACCAATTTCAAATATAATAGAGCAATTAGCAGATTTCAATTACTAGCTGATTTCAATTATTAATTGTTTAGTTAAGGAAATTTGCACAATTTAAGCAATAATTGTGCTCAGTTTTATAATATAATAGAGCAATAAGCTTACACAATAAATATTGAATTACTACAGAACCAGAGAGTATATCCAGTTACTCCCATAGCAATATAGATGGGTGCTAAATGTTGCAATAATTTGGTATCAACAAGTAATTTTTTCTTCGTAAGATTACAGTCAAACCTCTGTTAACTCGCACCAAAACTTCATTGCTTGATTTATTCCTTTTGTTTTTTAATTAAAAGGAAATACAAAACAGCTCAAATACTAAATTAGCTAAATTAAGTTAATTAAAATCTTAATTGCCTCAAATAATTAAATAGTTTAATGAAATATCAATAAAAATATATTTTTAAGTTTAATTGAGTCAGTTGAAATCTTAATTGTTCCAACTAATTGAATAGTTTATGGCTATTTGAACAAAAAGTGATTGAAAAGCTAAATGAAGTCAATCAAAATCTTAATTGCCTCAGTTAATTGAATAGTATAATGGTATATGAACAAAACTTAATTATTTAAGCTAAATTGTGAAAATTGTAAGCATAATTTCCTCAATTAATTAAATAGTTTAATGCAATATGAACTAAAGTTAATTGTTTAAGCTAAATTGAGTCAGTTAAATCCTAATTGCCGCAACTAATTGAAAAGTCGAATGGAATATGAACAAAAGTTAATTGTTTAAGATAAATGCAGTCAACTAAAATTTTAATTGCCTCAGTTAATTGAATAGTTTAATGGCATATGAACAAAAGTTATGTAGAGTGAATTTGAAGCACATTAAAGAATGTATGTGTCTAAAAGGATTCTAAATCCATAAACTACCATTAGCATACCAACAAATTATAAAGAATTAGCAGTGCCCAAATTGCTTCCAACAGCTGATGAAGTACACGACTAAAGAAATGAAAATCCAGAAAATACAAAAAAGAAAAGAAAATATATCTTTATATACCATGAACTTGGCTAACAGCACACATATTAAATTGTCAGATAATTTAGAACATTTTAATGACATATATTTTTCGTGCGATTTTTTTTTAGTGCATAATATGTGTATATTTACTATATATTATATATAATCCATTACGTAGCGCATTTCAGACATTAATAAATATTTTTATAACCTTTCTGCATAGTGAATACGGAATACTATACAAGTATATGTTTTATATATCATATACATATTTGTATATATATTCAAATGTGCCACAATACAACATAAGAGCTTTCAAGTGCTTTGCTAAAAGCCGGTCATAGCTTTCACGATATATTTAGAATTTTTTTTTTCGTTTTGAAAGGCACTCACAGCTACGTATATATATATGTATGTAGGCATAATCTGTATATATGTACATATGTTATAAGCACATAAAAACGTTGATCTTTCGCTGTGAATTATTTGAGAATAATGACGTGATTTGTTGGCACTTGCGTTTGGAAGCAAGCAATTTTCATGGGAACCAAAAAAAAAAATTATAAAATAAGTACAATTGAAGGCAAAAGATATTATTTAATGCTAAACATTTTTGCTTTAATACGAAAAGCGGTTGGCGTATAGTTTTGATTCTTAAAACACACCCGATTACTCTCTGAATTGGAGGAAGTTTTCAAAATTATAGGTATTTTATTTTTGTTAATTTTACTTATATTGTTCAAAGAGAATTTTATTTAATTTTTGTAGCATTATTATTTATATATTTTCATTAATTATTATTACTGTTGTATTTTTTTACAATTTAAAAGAAATTCTGTAGCATCTGCACAATTTTTAACTTTCATGATGTCTTTAAACCGCAATAGTTAATAAACAGAATAGTATATCGCAATTGGTCAATTAGCTGAGACAATTAAGTCTTAAATTAAGTCAGTAGAGTGTGCATATACGAGTATACTCAATTACTGTAAATATATTGTTATTGAATTTATTTATTACATATCAACAATGTCTCTCTTCAAAAAAATTCAAAATCATAAGGCAGGCTTCCAAGTGTATATAATCACTGTAGTCGACGGATGATAGGAGTATAAGTTTTGTAAAAAACTAAAAGCCATCAGATACGAGGTCCGGTTTTTTAATATAGAGGGTTCTTCTATTTGGTTTTAGGTAGTCTCCGACATGTGTAAAAATCAAAACAAATCACGGAAGACTGAATGTTAATAAGAAGCAATCGGCCGATTTGCATCACGGTATTGTAATTGAATTGCTTTACGTTACAGTAATTGCGGCAATTAAAGTAATTGCTGGATTTTCAAGGTGCTAGTACTATAATTAAAAAAAAATGTATACCTATAAAAATTTTATAAAAATAAATGTATCAAAAACGTAAATATGTTGTCCTTCAACCGTCCCTGCAGTTGCTGTAATTTTATATAATTAAGCGTAAATTAAAATATTTATTTACATACCTGCAATTGTTTTTGGTTTGCAGTTGTTTGCCGCAACGGATTTCAACAGCTGCCGCCTTGAATTAACAGTTAGCAGTTACGGTATATTGGCAGTTGACACGCGCTTGTATAATTCCAGCGTTGTAAGCTAATTTCGAAGCCAATGTTATATGATATATGTGCGGATGTAGACGCGTGACAACACACACACGCACACGTAAAGCTATCACACACAGACACACAATGTTGTGTTTGAGTCACTTAGCTAGTGAAGCTGCTGTTAAGGCCACTGTGTCGAGCCGTGCGAGCGAGGTTAGTTGGACACTAGAGCTGAGCGTGCAAGGGCTTAATGTCCTGCAGCAGCAAAACACTTCACTACACAGTTCAGCTGCTGCACCGGTCGCCTACTTTGGCTATTGTTACATATTATTATTTACAAAAAAAATTCCATGCAATAATTTTTTTATTGTTTTTGTTGCTGTTACACTATTTACAATACGTGTTAAGTTGTTTTTGTTGCAGTCGTATTGTTAGTTGACTCAATTTGCCTGCAGCTATTCGCCACACGCGTGACTATATATATTATACAATACGTTGTGTCGCATACAAAGAAGCATACACAAGCAAACACGAATGAACACGAGCTGTCGCACTGACGTCGTTGATGTTGTTATGTCCTTTCGTATAAAGGACACTTGACAACAACAGCAGCGTTTAACATATAAATATAAACAATTTCAATGAGTTCAGTTGCGTTGAGTTGAGTTGAAAAATGCGCTTTGACAGCTGGTTGTTTGTATGGTCCTTATGTATAGTTGTATATTTATATACATTGACCGCTCACACGCTATAAAGCGAAATGTTGTTTATATGCCGTTATATACATACATGTGTACATGTTTGGTATATGCGTGCATGTCATATACCGTTTTATTTTCTGTATTTCTTTCTTGTCATAAAACGTTTTCTTGGCTTGCTTCTTGGTCTCCACCTTTTTGGGGTAATAACTATTTTACACTTTTCGTCGTTGTTTTGAAGGATATTCTTTAGCACTTCATTTCGCTATTTTCAATTCAATGTCCACTGCTTCATTGCTCACACATATCTTTCTGCACAATTCATTTTTCACTTTTTCCGATTTGCTTTTATGTTGTCGGTTGCTTCACTGACTCACTCGACGGCATACTTAAGTAAGCATAAATATTTATTTACGGCATTTTTGTTGAACTACATACCTATATGGAGGCATTTTTATATTATTTATATATCCAAATAAAATTTTTATTTTTTTTTTCTCAAAATTTATTTAAAATTACTAAAATTAAATTTTTTACTTCAAGATATTTTTTTGGTCTCTCAAAACTGACTTTAAATAATTAAAATTAATTTTTTATTCCAAAATTACTAAAATAAAAATTTTTACTAGAAAATATTTTTTCTTTTCGAAATTTACTTAAAAATTATTAAAATAAAGTTTTTCAAATTAAAATTTTTGTTTTTAAATTTGCTTCAAAATAAGAATAATTAAATATTTACTTAAAATTTTTACTTAATTTTTTTTACTTCAAAATATTTTTGCTATTAAAATTTACTTTAAAATTACTGAAATTAAATTTTTTGCTTAAAATGTTTTGCTTAAATTTTTTTATTTAAATTTTATGTTCTCGACAATTACTTTAAAATTAAATTTTTTACTTCAAAATAAATGTTTTACTTAAAAATTCTGTTCTTTTGCAAAATTTATTTTAAAATTAGTAAAATAAAATGTTTTACTCTAACATTTCTCTTTCCAAATTTTAATTTAAAAAAAATATATATAAATTTTTTTACTTAAACAGTTTTTTTCTTTCTCAAAATTTACTTTAAAAAAATTAAAATTTTATAATATTATGCTTAAAATTTTTTTGTTTTTCAAAATTTCTAACTATACATTTTTGACTTCAAAAAAATTTTTTTTTTCAAAACTTGTTTTAAAATAATTTTAAGTTACTTTAAAATAACTCTGTTAAAATTTTAAACTTAAAATACTTTGTATTTTTAAAACCCGTTAAGTGAATATATTTTCTGGTGACTTATCGAAGTAATTTGGTTGATTGGTTAGTTGTTGTTGCATTTTAAACGTATAATTTTAATATCTGTACTGATAAAAGTTGACGCTCCTGGAAGGTAGAAGGGGCTTTGCATATTTTCAAAGCTTTAACCATAACTTCATTTAATTTTATTATTCGTTTTGTAACCCTCCAAGAGGGTCGGCTGTCAAATCAGCTGTCAGTGTAAAAATATTTCCAAACGCAGTAAACTTTTGGCAAATGTCATTGCAGTCACTTACATTGAAAGAACTTCTAAAAATCATAGAAAATTTTTTGCAAAACTCACGTTCTGTGTGACAGCTTTGACAAATGTAGGCCAACATGGCTACATTAGCAAATATTTTGTACAAAAATACATATATCAAATATACAAGTGATTTTAGGTATTTTTTTGGTAGAGTTACAGATCCCCTGCATTTTAGTGCGTTTTTGAGTCTCTAGTTCCTTTATTCTTCAATCTTTATCAAGTATTTCTCGTTAAAACGTAAAAAAATATCGTTGAAATGAAAAATATAAAAAGTAACATTTCTATTGTTTCAACAATGGAATTCTAGTCAAGTTATAGTACAAACATACATGCATATGCATATATATTTTTGTGCAAATTTGTATCTGAAGAGCCCTAGTGTTTGCACTTAAATGTGTATTTTTCCGTTAGTGGCCCATAAAAATATTTGGAACCACAGTATAATCTCAAACAATTGAATTGTGGCCAGACTACATAACATTTTTTAATAAAAACAATGTGAATTCAAAATCGAGGCAAAAAAATTTCAAAAGCAAACACCACAATAAAAAAAATTTGAAAGCGAGTCGAGAAAGTATATGGTTCTTAACAAGTTTTCATAATAGATTAGTGACAAAAGGGAAAAACAAAAAGAAAATAAGAAAAAAAGTTGACTTCAGTACCTTAGGATACCCTTCACAAATTACGGAGTTTCCATACAGTAATTTTGATCGTACAGTTTGCATGACAGCTATATGATATAGTAGTCCGATCTCAAAAATTTCCTCAGTTATTGTAGCGTTGCCTAAAAGAATAATCTGTGCCAAATTTCGTAAACGCGTCTCGTCAAAAAAACATTTTTCGTTTCACGAGCTGGGTTTTGATCGCTCAGTTTGTATGAGAGCTATAAGTTGTGGTAGTCAAAACTGAAAATTTTTTGCTGCTATTGTAGCGTTGCCTTAAAAAATAATCTATTTAAAGTTTTGTGAAGTTTTTTGCTGGAGGACATTTGCATTAACTGGAAGACCTCAGACGCAAGCAAAAAAATTTGACAGGCAAAGAGTTATATTCAGGTATAGAGTACATGCATATGTAGATGTGTATATGCATGCATATATGTTAACACCCTAACAACTACAAGAAAGCGGCAAAGCAAGGCGAAAACAAATGGCGTTTGGTCGAAATGTTGGCGCGCCGTGACGTTGCACGCTGCCATTGACGCCTTGACAGACAACCACGGCACAAATGCCGCGCTATACAAACACAACCAAGACAAGGCAAACACAGCGAATAGCCAGCGAAAAAATTAGACAGAGTAATTCGACAAAAAAACGAGGAGGAAGCAGAAAAATAAATAGAAGAAAGACAACAACAAATCACGAAATTGAGCTAAACACACAACGCGGTGGTTTGTCTTCTATTATGCTGAATATATGTATACTGAATTTGTTGTTTATATTGTTTTAGTCGCCAAATCGCCAAATTAAAATAGTGATGGGCGCGGCAGTTGGCGGTAGCTTGGCTGCGGTTGATGACAACAGAGCATGCAGGTGGCAGACCGCTAGCGCGCTTTTCAGCATGCGCGTGTGTGTGTGCTTCTGTGTTACACCATGCCTCGCGGGACTCATGTCGTTTATATACATGTTTCTTTTTTTTTGTTTTACTTTCTTTGTTGACATGTGAACGAATATTTGCTTTTAGCAGCAAACAACTGCACCATAAAAAAACATAACGCAGCTATGCTAAGCGTGAGAGCGTATAGAAAGCAGTGTGTTAGCCTAAGAGCTCAAATATGTGCGCGCTCTTATGCGCGAAAAATAATGCTTGCGTTTATGTGTGTGTTTGTATTTTTAATTATCTTTTTTTTCAGCTTTGTTATGTACAGGTTGTTGGCGCCCCATTGCTGCCGCCATAGTTGTTCACAACGGCGCGCTACAAGGCATTATCTCATCAGCTGATCGGTCTTTATAGCGCTACTATGTACTTGTCCATAGGCTACCGGCTGAAAAATCAACATTTGCTCATGCAAGCCAGCACAATGTGGCGTGAAAACACAAATTGTTTCGCTGGTCTCTGCTTTCTTCTCATTTTAGACATTTTGGTTTTACTTTTCGGCAATCCCTAGGCGCCCACGGCTACTCATTTGTGAAATCGCAATTGTTTTTCACGAATTTTACTTGAATTGCCTTTAATATGATACAATTCGCTTAGAAACAATTTATTTGAAAAATTGGTGTTGTTGTTTACTGTTCTTTTTTTTGGTTATTGAAAAAGATAATATTATATATATATACAAAAGTAATTTTCTTGTTTTACCTCATTTGGCTTGCATAATTTATCTTACATCGTACCACATATAATCAGAATGTTAATTTGTTCGTGCCCTAAGCACTGTGCAAGGATAAAGTAATGCATAGAAATGGATAAAGTGGTACAATATAATAATTTATACGCTAAAGGTTTTATATTAAAATATTGGAGTCTAAAATTTGTCTTTGGGATATAAAAGGTTTTCCGTATTATGTCTCTATAGGGCCAATAAAGTTTATTTATTTGCTATTGATTTTTCTATATGTATATAGTTTGATAGATTGAACATAAAATATTTATTTTGATAAATTAACTAATCTCATAATATTAGCTCATTCCTCATTCTTTACATTTGTAAACAATGTTGCAAGACATATCAAATATTTGTACATATTTTATATAAAATATACATGTACACGCCACAATTCAGCTAAGCCCCATCGTACCTGTAGCTATTTCTGTAACAGCGCTTAGTCATAGTTTGTCTGAGTATATATTGTGGCATTTCATTGTTGCATCTCATATTTAGCTACACATGATTACAACTACGTGTAACTGTTACTACGTGGCTGAAGAAAGAAAATTGTTTTATTGATCTAATTGTGGTCGCAGCTGAATTATTGCTTGTTAAGCAAACATTTATCTTGTCCCGTGCAAATAAAATATAGACTTCATTAGATTTATGTATTTATTTAACATACCCACACTCAATAATTTTAACCGTTGTAAGAAGAGATCGAATATGTGCTTATATAGACACTACTGATTATTGGTAGTTCCTTGCAGAAACTTCTTCCCTACGGAAAGTTTGGTAAGATTTCTATTTACATAAAATGATTTAGGCGCCATTCCACGAAGTACTATCTATTGTATGTCTTAAGGTCTTCTATAGTTAAACGTATAATTCAATATAAACTTCAAGGAGTTAGATATAGATATAAGAATTAGACCTTTAGTATCAGAACTTCAATGCTTTAATTCAATTAATACCCTGTCATCTTGTCAAAATGAATCACAATAAATTTTCTCCACCTTCAATTTTATGGTTCCTTAAAGCTCTTTAGTTTAATGGTAAAGCTTTTAAGATAAAAAACTTTCGATAATAATCATTATTCATAAACTTTTATATACTGTTTGGCTTATAATTAGTAAAGAATTAATATTTTTATAAAATGGTACGGAAATAAACTTTTAAACAGTCAGCAATCCTGCCATAACTTACTTAAAACTATATTCCTTAAATATTCTCGGTTTGATAACTATATTATTAAATTTCGTTGTATAAAAATGTTGTGAATAGTTGGTAACCCTTCTCTAAAAATAATTTCAGCTATCATCTTTCTTAGACAACATTTTGAAAACCATAAAATCCATTATTCTATAATTTATTTTTTATTTTTGTAATAGTTGGCAATCTATCTAAAAATAATTGCAACTAAACTTTTACAATTTATAATGATAATTTCAGGCATCATCTTACTTAGACCACAGTGTGATACCTATATATTCAATTACCTTATAAAATTTGTTTGAAATAAAGTTTTGTAAATAACTGGCAACCCTCCCCAAAAAAATTACATCAATTATTTTCTTGCGTATGGCTCAAGCT